AGTAGTAGTAGTAGTAGTAGTAGTAGTAGTAGTGGTAGTAGTAGTAGTAGTTCTAGTTTCACGCTTAGTAGTAGTAATAGTCGAAGTAGTAGTAGTAGTAGTAGTAGTAGTAGTAGTAGTAGTAGTAGTGTAGTAGTAGTAGTAGTAGTAGTAGTAGTAGTAGTAGTAGTAGTAGTAGTACGTGGTGATGCTGTTGCTAATCAACATGATATGATAGCAGCTTCGATCCCCGCAATGTTTCCGTGGATTATCAAGTTTGGCCTCCGCGCCTTTCCCACAGATAAATCCTTGTGGGTGGGGATTAAAAAATAGAGGGGGGTAAGGGGGGCACCTTTATTATCGCCCGTTAGCGGTTAAATTGAAGATGAGCGACGTTCCAAGGTGACTTTTGCATCTTTCCCGTTCGGCCCATATTTGGCCGCTTTCGCTGGCCGTGCCCCGCTCGCAAAGTGTCGACATGGCCTTCCAGGGTTCACTGCAACCATCTCGGGCGTCCAAACCCAGTGTCGGTGGCCCCCGCCTTTCCGCTGAATGGACAGGCGCGCGACGAGCAGCAGCAAGGGCACGAGCAGCACGAGCACCAGGCGACAGGCAGCAGGCGCATCGCGCGCGGGCGGCGCGGAATGTCAGTTCCAGGCATATGGTCAGATCCTGCAAGCTCGTGTGCACGCTGCGCCGCTGGCGGGGCCTCGAGCGACAGCGGGGGGGGCGCAGGAGCAGTAGCAGGAGCCTGCTGGGCGGAAGCAGCAGGAGGAGGAGGAGGAGGAGGAGGGAGCGGCGGAAGAAGAGCGCAACAGCCAAGGATGCTCATGTATGGGCAACGTCCAAAGAGCAAGTGGAGGATGTTATCGCGGCTCGTCTTCCCAGCCGCACATTACCAGTTTGAAACATATCCCTATCCCTGTGTTTGACATCACCTCACCTCGATGCCGATCTTAAGGATTCCCTCAGTTTCTGAGGGCCTATCCCTAAGATTGTCCTCGCTTTTTGCTCGCCCATCTTAGGGATAGGGATACGTTCGAAGCTGGTTGGCACAAGCACCACAGTTCACGGCCCTGGCGGTGCATACCGTGGCCACTCGCGTCGGGCGCTGGCGCCACGGGCGTGCGCGCCGGGGCCACAGGGGGTGAGCGGCTGCGCCCGGCGGCGCGACGGGGTGAGGACGGCGGAGGTGCAGCTGGCACGATGCGGAAAGAGTCAATTTCAGGAGGGGAAAGAAACACACAGACACAATTAATCGTCGATTCCCCAGAAAATATGAGAAAATATGGGAAGTGGGGGGGGGAGACAGAAACCCAGAAAATATGGGAACATATGGGGTACATTTTTATGTGTGTGGGTTCATTTGTGTGTCCCAGGGCCCCTTCAGTGCAGCTGGCACGATGCGAAAAGAGTCAATTGGGTTTGGAACAGTACCCTCGTGCTCTTCGAACGAGCGCGTTCTGTGGGCTTGCGGGGCCCCCCCCCCTGGTTCAAGGGGGGCGGGGCTCGAACCGAACATGGGAGAAATTACAGCCAACTAGGACGGAGTCCAACTATGTCAGTCCCAAACCCAACCGACTGGTACAAATTACAATCGCTTTCTAAGAGGCTCCTGTGACAGTCCTTCAGGCTCCTTAGAAGCTCCGTTGGGTCTCCTTAGAAGCTCCTTCAGAGGCGTCTTAAAAGTTCCTTCGAGGTTTCTTAGAAGCTCCGTAGAGGTTCCTAAGAAATTCCCAAGAGGCGTCTCAGAAACTCCTTCAAGGCTCTTGAGAGGCTCCTTAGAGGCTCTTAAGAGGCTCCTCTGAAACTCCTTAGAGGTGTCTTAGAAGCTCCTTAGATGCTCCATCGAGGCTCCTCAGAAGCTCCTTCGAAGCCTCTTAGAGGCTCATTATAACGTCCTTACAGGCTCTTCAGCAGCTCCGTAGAGGCTAGCAAGGGACTGCTAAGCAGCTCCTTAGAAGCTCGTCAGAGGCTTCTCAGAGGCTTCTTAGTGGCTCCTTAGGACTTCCTTAAAGGCCCACTAGAGGAACTTCAAGGGTTTCTGGATGATGTCTCGTTGATGTCCGGAGGATTTCTGGAGGATTTGGCAGGCTCCTTAGCAGCTCCGTAGAGGCTCCTAAAAGACTCCTGAGCAGCACCCTAGAAGCTCAGAGGCTAGTTAGAGGTTCCTTGGAAGCTCCTTAGAGGTTCCTGGGAAGCTCCTTAGGAGGATCCTTAGCAGCTCCGTAGAGGATCCTGAGAAGCTCCTTCGAGGCTTCTTAGAAACCTCTTAGAGGCTCCTTAGAGGCTCTTGAGAGGCTCCTTAGAAGCTGCCTAGAGGCGTCTTCGAAGCTCCTTAGGGCCCCCCGGAGGCACCAACACGGCCCCCAGAGGCCCAAAAGAGCAACCAGAAAGCTTCCGAACGGCCCACCAAAGGGCCCAGCAGGCCCCAAAAGTCCCTCCAAGAAGATCCCCAGAGGCTCCCCACGAAACCGCAAGAAGCATCCAAGAAGCCTCTTACCCACAACCCCAGCACTGG